AAATCAGTCCCACTGTACTCGGCTAGATATTGGTCCGGTTAGGCTTTTGTTTAAGTAAATTTCCGGCTCTTTCATCAGGGTTTTAAACAATTCCCTAATCGCTTAATTATTTAACTACTTCTTAAGTAGAAATAAGTCGAATCCGGTTACGTTGTACTCGAATATTTCTAGTCTCGGGAAAAAAAGTGGAAAGACAAATTTTTACGACAACGGATACATAAATCGTAAATTTAAGGAAAATAAATTCTAGAGCCTTTTCTGTACCTGGTGCATCTCTCTCATTCATTAAATTTAGTTGTAAATGACGCTGTCGAAGTAACGGTTAATTTTTTAACATTATACAAGAATTGTATACGTTTTTTTCTACATCCCCTTATAGATGGGACATACGAAATCGTAATATCACTAGTTTAACATCGAAATCCGCGAGTAATATAAAATCGGAGAGCGGAATAAATATATCAAATATTTTAATGGATTTTTTTAAACTCCTGTCAACTATACAGACTATCATAAAAAAATACCAGTAAATTCTTATCGGTTGGGTTAAGTTATAAATCTCGTTATTCACGTAATCGAAATATCTAGTGGGCAGGCGGCTAACAGCCCAGAACCGGTCCTTGATAGAATTGGAATCTTTATATGTGTAGCATAAACCCAAGGTCGTAGGCTTCCACCAGCTAAACCTGGTGAGGTTGGTGCTCTGTAAAGCGCATGCGCAAATCTGGCTTTTCGTAATCTGAAAATACAGAAGATTCCACTTGGCCATTAATATTCTAATATACAATAGCAATTTTTTTTCCACGTGTAGTATAGAAATTTGTAATAAGATACATAATGCGGTTATAATAAAACATTGTGCGATTATTTTCATATAATTAAAATTAATACAGTAGAACCTCGATTATCCGGACCTCTATTATCTGGATTTTCGATTATCCGGATTGTTCAAAATAAACAAAAATTTTACGAATTTGCTGGTTTGCACTTGGCGAATTACGACACTGTTTATGTACGTGATAGAATGCATAACATTTTTTGTTTCAACAACGTCTTACTCGGAATAGTGGCCGTAAACTCTTAAATATATTTTGCGTCGTAATAAAAATATAACTTGACATACTCGTTTATAAAAAATTTTATTTTCAAATTACATCATTTCTATGACCAAGGGCGGCGTAAGGCATGGGCAACGTGGGCCACCACCTATGCCTCGCGGTCCGAAGGGCCTCGCGCCTCGAAGGTTTATGCATTACTTAAAAGCCGAGAACGCGACGAAAAAATTTTACTCGTCATAAAACGATAAATAGTTTGTTAAATTTTTATTCATAAAAATGCAGTTTCAACTGCTGTTTATTTTATAAAATCCGTCTTCTTGAGCCACCAGAGGGCCTTTTAAACAATAGCTAGTCTGTTAGTGCTGCTCAGTAGTAGTCGAAATTCAATAACACATTTGTTCCTTGAAAATTTGATCACGATTTAAATATAGTATTTATTTATAATATTACCGATATGTCATCGAAAAGAAAACGTGTTGTATTATCATTAAAAGACAAATTAAAGTATTTGTTTCGATTATCCGCATTTTTCCTTATCCGGACTA